GGCAAATATGCCGTGGTTTTCTAAGAGATGAAAGAATTGGATGTAAACTCTTCATATTGAGGAGACAGTAGCCATTCTTCCCATTCGTCCTCCAACAATTCTCCCACCTGAATTTTAATCCTAACTTAAAATTTTTCCAATTCTTTATAGATGACCAGAAATCCCCCCTCACCAACACACACATAACTTGGCAACTCCTAGAATTTAATCCACGAAGTACTGCTCAAGAACTTAGGTTTGTAGAAGTTATGTAGGTTGGCTGAACACTTGGCCATCCACTAGCTGTGATTTAACCTTTAAAAAGAACAACGGTGGTGGCTAACTCACAGCGCTGACAGGAGGCTTGAATGAGTTAATTACTACATGTAAAATGCTAACAACAGTCCCTGGCACATAGTTCATTCTCAACAGATATGAGATACTATTATTACTCCACATCTCTGGAAGTAGCAGAGTTGATTTCTGTTTTTCGTTCCCTCATTCAGCAAAATTTGTTGAGCACCTGCTGTGTGCTGTGTTCTGGGGAGAGAGCCCATGTTCTTAATTGCTATGCTTTACTGCCTCCAGTTCAATTCCAAGGAAGATAGTTTCCCTCTTTGTAGGCAATTGGAAAATAAGTCACTAAAGATAGGACAGTTCATGGTCCACCAGCATTTTGTTTTTAAGTCTTCAAAATAAGCATCATGCTAAGATAAAGAATGCACATCTTAAAGTCATTCCTCTTGATCTCAAGATAGTGCTGACTTCATGCTGGAGCAGAAGACAAGAAGTGAATGTAGTTACTGATTCAGCTGCTTAGAGTAAATAAAATTATTGAATCTATTAATAGCGTGATGCTCTGCTCAGGGAAACAAAGTGTTTCTCAGTTTACTCTTAGAGGAATTAAAGGTTTCATTTACGTTTTGTAAGCAGATCATTTGCCTTTGAAGAACAAAATAAAATATTTAAGTTGATAGAGGCCGAGCTTTTTAAAGCCAAAGTAAGCTAAGAAGAACCAGGTCTTTCTACTAAAGCTGTGTGGAGTAAGGAATTTGAAAGGATATAAAATATGGGACAAGAATTGTGTGTGTGTGTGTGTGTGTGTGTTTTTAAAGGCAGTGGCTTTAAATTAATGTGACTTTAACATCAGAGTAATAATCAGATATCTGACCAAACAGGCTTCCTGGGTTGGGGCTGCTGTCTCCCCATCAGGGCGACATTTCTGACTTTTTGATATTTCATTAGTGTCATTCACAAGCTGTATTCAACCTGAAATGGCAAAGGAAGGCCACCAGTGATTGTTCTGCCACAGTTCGCTGGCTTTGATGAGTCATTGCAGTACAGCCCTCTGAACCAAGTGCCAATAAGAATAGATACACAATAGGAAAATAAAACAACTGAGAGCTGAAGCAGAAATCGCTGGGAGCTCAGAAGTATGTCCACGGCTGTGCCGTATTTAGCTGCGTGACCTCATGCACGTCAGAGTCCTCCAGGGCCCCAGGCTGCTCGTGCATAAAAGAAAGTTTCTAAGGTTTCTTGCTGAAGTTAGGTCAACTTCGGAGTTCAATATCCACTGAGAGAGAGAGAGAGAGGAGGTAAGGCCCTTTCAGGTGACCGCGATTCAGCAGTTATGTAATTACAGTAGCTTTGTTGACCGGTGGACAACAGCAGATGAGTCAGCCTGCCGTGTAGCTATTGGAGACCAGTGATGCTTTTTTTGTTACAAAAAGACTTGACGACAGCACAAGTTTAGGTGCCAGTGGTCAGGGTGATGCCAAGTTCCAGAAATAGCAGCTAGGATGTTGTACAGAGGACAGTAGGGAGGCGACGGTGGTCACCAATTGGTTTTCCCAGCCAGACCTCACTTCCGCTTTCCGTGGGGAAGCTGTTCCTGTGAGAGGCATGGGGGGTGTATTGTCCCCAGCCGGCCAGCAGCCCACCCCTCACGTGTCGCTTGGGAAGTCACTACCAGTGACTGAGAAGAGGCAGGTGGTATTTCAGACCGCCTTTGTCTGCCTGGTTTGGTTCTCCAAGGGTCGATGCGAGAGCTGCAAACCGCTGGATGAAACGTGGACTCAAGACCGGCAGATCTGAACCATCCATCCCTCATCCTCCCTCTGAGCCCTTTCTCCACTCGTTACAGAAGAGGGAGCTTATTCCCATTTCTCTCAGGCCTGGTACTGAGCTCCCCAATCTGCTTATTCTGTGCCTCCCCACACGGTTCAGCTTGGCCCACCACAGACAGTGCAAGTCCCCACGTGTAATAGGAAGAGGTTGGGTTGGGTAGGGGTAGGGGGGTCTTTCTGCATCCTAGCTGCACCACTTCTTGGCTGTGAAACCTGGACTAATTTATTTAGCTCAGGTGGTAAGTGTGGTAGTATTAATAGTCTTCATGCAGGTAGCCACACGGTAACTTAAACCATATGAAATTACATTTTAACTTAAACCATATGAAAATATCTCCTCCTTGAAGGAGAGAGAGTGAAGGTGGGGCAGAAAACTAGGCCTTGATCTCTCCCAGCCCCAACCCTCCATTAGCAAGAGTGTGTCATAAACACCAGAGGCAGATTTGACCTCATAGAGGTCACAAGGATCCCCACCTCTCTGCTCAGGCCCCTAGGACAATGAGTTTCAAACTCTGTAAGCAACAATCAACTTTTTAAAAATCTTACACCAAAGTGTAATACGTAAAAGGAGTAAAAGTAGGCTTTTGTGTATAAACATATGCTTAGGTTGAAATTTATAATAAACCCACTAAGGATTATGAAGCAGTTTTGATTAACCCAAAAATTTGAAATAAAGGTGATAATAGATGACAGGTGTGGTCTTTTTCATATAACATATAGGTAAGTAATTGTAAATGATAAATTTTTTAAAAAATTTCTCCTTCCAATCAAGTGATAGCAGTCAATTAAAGAGAAAAGATAGAAGGCATATTATGCCAAAGCTGCCTGAATATATAGACCATGGACATTTCTGTGTTCATGTGTAACAGATGGGAATGAACTTCTAAATTATTGCATTTTTTTCCAAAATGATGTACATTTAAAAAATAAATTTAAAATAAATGTTAAGGGGCACCTGGGTGGCTCAGTCGGTTAAGCGTCTGCCTTCGGCTCAGGTTCAGGTCATGATCTCCAGGTCTTGGGATTGCCCCCCTCCCAGGGCTCCCTGCTCAGCAGGGAGTCTGCTTCTCCTTCTCCCTCTGCTGCTCCCCCCCGGGCTCATGTGTGCTCGCACTCTCTCTCTCTCTCTCTCTCTCTCGTTCACTCTCTCTCAAATGAATAAATCTTTTTTTAAAAAAATGAAGTAAATGTTAAAACATCTGAAATATGTCCATACACTCCCAAGGTTTGGCAGAAGGATGCTCGAAACATACTCCCTTAGATCTTGGGTCACTCGGATCCCTATTTGCTCTCTGTTTCCTGTTTGGTTGTGGCGAGTGTTCATTGGCTTATGGAAATCTACACAGTTTTCAATACTGAGAGCCATTTGATACAAAAAATGGTTAAATCTGGATAAGATCTGCAGTCTGATTAACAATTTTTCATCAGTGTCAGTTGCTTGTTGTGATATTCTACTATAGGGATGTCAAATAATACAGTTGGGGGAAGGTGCATGAAACTCTGCAATGTGTTGCAGTTTACTCTGAGTCTATAATTATTTCAGAATTCAAAAATAAAAAAAAATTATTTGGAAAGGATTATCTTATACTTAGGATTACAATCAGCTTGATAGAGTGGTGTACACATCACACTTACAGAATGGATTCCAGATTTCCAGCTGTCTCACCTTAAAAAAAAAAAAAAGCATCTTTTCTTTCCTTGCCACTGAGTTCTGTTCCCCACTCCTCTACATTCCTTCTATTACCTACTGTAACACTGTTGAAGTTTTGAAAAGAAAAGGGGGGGAAATCGGAGGGGAAGATGAACCATGAGAGACTATGGACTCTGAGAAACAAACTGAGGGTTCTAGAGGGGAGGGGGTGGGGGGATGGGTTAGCCTGGTGATGGGTATTAAAGAGGGCACGTTCTGCATGGAGCACTGGGTGTTAAACGCAGTGAATCATGGAACACTGCATCAAAAACTAATGATGTATGGTGATTAACATAACATAATAAAATAAAATTTAAAAACGGGTAAAACAAAACAAAACAAACAAAAAAGAAAACACAGCCAATGGCAAATTAAAGAGAGCTCTCTTGGGAAATCTATTTTAGCTGCTAATTAATTAATTAGAAAATGATGCTGAAACCCAAGAGTTCACCTGCAGTCACCTGATACAGAAAAGGTAGACGAATGATGTGGCATGTTCTTCTCATGCATTCCTATGCTTAAAACAGTAATTAGGTCAAAGCATTATCAACATGTTATAATACCATATGGTCACATGTCCAAATCAGAGTGCCCTATAGCCTAATGTAATGGTGCAATGTGATGAATATTATTCTATAGGAGAAAAAATGAAGGATTAAAGATAATTTAAAAAGAATATACCTTTGATGCACTCACTTCTCTGTGAGTAAAGTAAAAGTGGGCATGGCGGTAGTGAAATGTGGTTCTCTGTTCTCTTGGATTTTACAGTGTGCTGTAAATTGCTGCACTACCTTATTCTTTGATAAGATTGATGGTGGGTTTTGCGCTTTATCACTTGGAGAAATGCAGCAGAATTCCGCCCCCCCCCCCCCCCCCAGCCTGCCCATCTGTCTTCATGGTAATTGCCAGAATAGTGATTGTCTCCTGTGTTTTGACCAAAATGGATTGGTGGGGTTGCTCACCTGGGAAGGTGAGCCGGGCTTGAAATAGTGCTTTAGGAAATGTTTTAATGTGTGCTAATATAATTCCATTTTAGAAAAATTAGTTTACTTGGGAACATAAAATACCAAGACCACAGGGTCCTGTGCACTAGGTAGGACTTTAGTTTCGTGCCAGTTGTGGAGACTGCCTAGGCTGACCCTTGAGTCTGAGCTCTGAGCCTTCCAGAAATTTCTGTCTGACCACTCTCCTGGCTTCTTCTGCAGGGTTATCAATGCTGGGAAGAGCACACATAATGAAGACCAAGCCAGCTGTGAGGTCCTCACTGTGAAGAAGAAAGCAGGGGCCATTACCTCAACCCCGAACAGGAACTCGGCTAAGAGACGGTCCTCCCTTCCCAATGGGGAGGGGCTGCAACTGAAGGAGAACTCGGTAAGACCCTCCTTCACCCCCAGTTCTCAGGTGAGAGGCATATGGGCACCCTGGCCCCCCAAGGTGCTAGAGCTGAATCCTGGTCTGTAATGGGAGAGTAAAAAGCAGTGTCCCCAGAGTTAGTGGAGCAGCCCATCTCTACTCACAGTATCACACAGTCAAAGCTGTGTGTAAAGTCAAACACATGTGTGAAGAGCTGGTGTTGATTAGATTCTTAACACTTAGAGTAAATAAAACACCCACATCATATATAGATTCTGTTGAGATACAATATATATATTGTTTGGTGGTTGTGAAGGAGACGGTCTCCGGAAGCCTCTCCTGAGGGATGGAAGGAACTCTAGCCATTGGCTTGCAGCCCTGCCATGACTTTGCCCCCTTCTTCCACTTGCCTGTCTGTTAGAGTTGTCTAGTGGGAGCCTCTGCCTGATGCTCTTCCAAATTAATCCTTGTTTCAGTTGGCCCAAAGCCCTTGCATCCCGTGGGGCAGCCCTGCAGACTGAATGCCTTGTTGACAAGCCACCAAGCGTTTCTCCTCTCTTCAGTTTCTGGAGAAGAAAGCAGACATCCTCAGAAAGTTCTGAAGAAGCATTCAGAAAAGTATAGGGAGTAATTGGTACTCTGTCCACCAGCAGATTATTTAGCTTACAGAAAAGAAACATTGAATGAGATGATCCAAATGTGACTTTTTATTCTAATAATCTTGAGGATATTTTTGTATATACATTTTTATAGGATTGGAAAGGATCCAGGAATCTTTTCTTAGTGTAAGAAATAGTATCTCATTGCATTTATGCGCAGGGAATAAGAGTACTGATATATTTTGTTCATACTAGTTCAACTTAGAAACACAGTGACGAATGGAGACTCATCAGCTGTACTTGTGTTCAAGGCTGAAGGAAGCATTGACTGGGCTTTTCCCAAAGAGCAGGAGTCAAGGACTCAGATGGGCAGTACAGAATAATAATGGTTAAGTGCACAGACTCTGGAGTAGTAGGTTTCAGAGCAGTCCATCACCATCCATCATCTATCAAACCATTCAATTTTAGGATGGTTATTCTTTGAGCCTTAGTTTCCTAGAAAAAGAAGTAATAGTTACTACTACCAAGTATGGTAGGAAAAGACTGGTTGGAAGTATGAAATCCATTGTCCATGGAAATGTTGAGCCAGTGTCTTAATTTATAAATCCTTGATAAATGTGAGCATTTATTTATTACTTTATTATCCTAAAGTCAGTTCCACTTTAGGGATTCTCTGTAGATAATGTCCACTGAATTTTGTATGTTTATCCATTTGTAAAGTGAGAGATCACACAATTTTCCTTCATGCCTATTTGACAGAATTGTTTTGAGGATTGAGTTATTAATGGAAAAGGGCTCAGAAAATGTGAGATATTGATGATAATTAGATATGGGTGCCGGTGACTTCATGTTGCTCTTTTCCCTGGTAGTTCTCCCCTGCCACCGGGATATGAAGTGATTTCTGTAAAAATTAGTCAGCATTGACATTTGGCCCAAGGCCAGTTGATGATGTCATTTTTCCTTGTTGCTAAGTTCCTCCTAGAAATGGAGCCAGGAATAACTTTTTAACTTCCTTTCCTTAAGAACAGTGAAACCAGGGGCACCTGGGTGGCTCAGTCAGTTAAGTGTCCGACTCCTGGTTTCAGCTCAGGTCATGATTTCAGGGTGGTTCGATCAAGCCCCGAGTCGGACTCCCCACTGAGCGTTAGAGCCTGCTTAAGATTCTCCCTCTCCAGGGCGCCTGGGTGGCTCAGTCGGTAAAGCGTCTGCCGTCGGCTCAGGTCATGATCCCAGGGTCCTAGGTTTGAGCCCCGTGTGGGGCTCCCTGCTCAGTGGGGAGCCTGCTTCTCCCTCTACCCCTCATCCCCCTCTCTCTCTCTCAAATTTTAAAAAATCTTAAAAAAAAGATTCTCCCTCTCCCTCTGTCCCTCTCCCACCCCCCTTGTAAATAAATAAATCTTTTTGAAAAAAAGAACAGTGAAACCAGTACCTAAGAACTTTAGGATGGAGCCATGAACCTCGCCTGTGATCATCTTGAAGCTCTGTGGGGTCCTTGTTCCAGGAGGCAGTGAGGAGGTGCCAAGCAGAGTGGCCCTTCCCGCCCTCCATTTCCTGCTTTAGGCGCAGCCACTTCACTTCTATCTGCCTTACATGTTAGGCTTTTTATTAGAGTTTAAGGCAGGAGCTGTGCTGCCATTTTTTAACTGTGGGAAATTATACATAACATAAAATTTACCATTTTAACCCATTTTTAGGTACACAGTTTAGTGGCATCAAACACCTTATTACCATTTGCTGCCATCCATCTCCAGAACTTTTTCTGAAATTGAACTGTACCCATTAAGCCCTGACCCCCATTCCTCCCTACCCCCAGCCCCTGCCAGTTACTATTCTACTTGTTTGTCTATAAATTTGACTACTCTAGTTACCTCATATAAAGTGGAATCATACAATATTTGTCATTTTGTGTCTGGTTTATTTCACTTATAATGTCTTCAAGATTCATCCATGTTGTAGAATGTGTCAAATTTCATTCTTTGTTAAGACTGAATAATATTCCATTGCCATGTGTACACACCATTTTGTTTATCAGTTTGTCCATCAATGGACACTTGCTTCCATCTGTGAATAATATTGGTATAAACATGGATCTACAGATAGCTGTCAGTCCCTGCTTTCAGTTCTTTAGGATTTATGGCCAAAGTGGAATTGCTGGATGATATGGTAATTCTGTTTAATTTTTTGAGGAGCTGCCATACTGTTTTCTACAGCAGCTGCATCATTTTCCATTACGACCAGCAATGCACAGGGTTCCAGTTTTGCCGCATTCTTGCCAACACTTGTTGATTTCTGATGTGTTTTTTTTTTTTTTTTTAAGTAGCCATCCTAATGGGTGTGAAGTGGTAGCTCATTGTGGTAGCTCATTGTGGTTTTATATTTCCCTGATGATTAGTGATGTTGAGCATCTTTTTATGTGCTTATTGGCCAGATATAGCTTCTTAAGAGAAACATCCGGTGTTCTTTATTCAATATTTATTTATTCTATATTTGAGTCCTTTCCCCATTTTTAAATTAGGCAGTCTGTTATGTTGTTGTTTGCACTACTTTTTAAAAGCTTGAAAACCATGACTTGCTTGCTGTGCCACGTTAACCCCTGAGCACTTGCTGCGTATCAGAAACTAGATGCTGAGGATTCAGCAGGGAATGAAACTGACAAAAGTCCTTACCTACAGGGAACTTACATCCCTTGAGGGAGACCAACAATTAAAATGTATCCCATGGCAGATACTAAATGCTATTGGAGGAGAACAAAGCAGAGATGCAGGCATATAGGAAGTGTGAGGTGCACGGGTGGTTAGAGAAGGTGCCACTAAGAAGGTGATGTTCGGGCACAGACTGGAAAGTGCAGCTATTTGGAGGGAGAGCTTTCTGACTTTCTAGACAACTGCAAGGACCCTGAGGCAGGAAGAGGCCTGGTGTTCTCAAGAATCAGCGAGGAGGCCCCTGTGGTTGGCGCAGAGAGAGTGAAGTCAGGATTGCAAGAGATGTTGTCAGAAAGGCAATGAGAGTGAGGTGAGGCCATCTTGCAGGACCTGGAAGGCTATCATGACTTTGGCTTCTACTCTGAATGAACAATTTGCTAGCAGGGCATGCTGGATATACTGCTTAAAGGAACCCAGTGACTTTTCCCATTTAGAAGACACCCTTAACTCAAACACAGTAGTGCTTAGAAAGGGGTAGTAACAGTATAGGATGCAGCACAAATCATCTGCAGGGGACAAGGAAGGTGGCTCTGCTCCCCTCCCCCTCTGTGTGTCTGTCCCTTTGCCTACCAGATACGTATTGAGTGCTGAGACTGCCTTGGGGGTGAGATGAACTCAGTACAGTTCCAGTCCTCCTAGAGCTGAGTTGAGGAGGGCGAGAGTCCAGCAGCAGCAGCGATGCAGTGGAGTGAGTTTTCAGAGAAAGATCTTAAAAATCCAGGTTGTTTGGAAGCCTAACTCAGATGGGTTACCGGTGGTTTGAGGGAATGGGTCAGATGAGGGAGTGGTTCCTGGGGAAAGTGACATTTGAGCTGTCATTTAAAAAAGTGAGCTGGGTGGCTCAGTTGGTTATGCATCCGACTCTGGATCTCAGCTCAGATCTTGATCTCAGGGTTATGAGTTTGAGCCCCACATCGGGCTCCATGTTCAACACAGAGTCGGCTTGTCCCTCTCCCTCTGCTCCTCCCCTTGCTCATGAGCTCTCTCTCTCAAATAATGTTTTAAAAAATTTTTCTTCCTCCTTTCTTGACCTCTTATCGCCAACAACTTAAAGTCAAATATTTCCAGAAAATTTCTTTCATGTATAATTTAATCACCTTCATCTTATTTGGAGATTGAAGAAAACCTAAAATGTCCTGAAGCTTGTATGTGATGACATTTCTTATACTGAGAGGCAGTTGGGCAGCTGGGTAGCAATAATTTTTTTCTTCCTATGGATAATTATTAATTGGTATAAAGATTTTAAGGCAACTTTAATCCATCCCTCATGCCAACTCATAGAGATTTATTTTATCTTATTAGGACAAGTAATCTTTTTAGTCAAAGGAGTCAATACTTAATCCTCTTATTTTAAAACAAACTTAAAAAAAAAATTTGGTGGATAAAATAATATAAACTATGTTCTGCCTCTCCTAGTTTCCCTGAGGTATTTACTGAGGGAGTGTTGTTTCCTATAGCACTTGCTAAGTTCTTGACATCAGCACCTTACAAAAAAATCACAAGTTAATTTCAGATTCCATCTACATATAAAAGCAACACATCCGGAGCTAAAGAAGCAATGTTTGTATCTCTTTTAAAACTTAAAAGAGATACAAATAAAAATTTCAAAGTGTTCTGCACTGTAGTAGTTTAGCCTAAAGAAATGCAAGGGATGTGGTTGAATTACTGTGTTCTCCCTTACAAAAACAGTAATAAATCCAGTTTTTTTTTTTAAATT